TAAATATCTAACTGATTTTAACTCTAGCATAGATAAGTAAATTCAAAAATTTTTTTTGTTAAATATAATATGACATTTAATTAATAAAATTTAATATAATAAAGTTTTTTAATTATAACTAGTTTTATGTATAGTACAATCATATTATTTATAATATATATACTTATAATTAGTGAAATTCTATTAAAATACTATATAAATTTTTGCAAAACTTATAATTAGAAAACTCTATTAAATACTATATAAAATTTTTGCAAATTACGAAACTTGTAAAATATTTCACAATTTTATATTTTTGAAATATTTTAGTAAAAACATTTAAACTATTTAATTTTACTAATTGTCTAAACCTATAGGTTTAGACAAATAACTTTATTCTCATCTATGCTTATTATGAATTTAATAGTTAATATAAAATAATATACAGTTACATTTATAATAACTATACAATATATTAATTTTAATTAATTGATTATATATTTTAATAAAAAAAATTTTTGAATTTACTTATCTATGCTAGAGTTAAAATCAGTTAGATATTTATAATTACTACTATATAATTTAATAAATAATTAGATTAAAATTATATTATGAATTATTTGATATTTTATTTTTTATAATTTGACTTTATTAAAAAAGGTTTATATAATATTATATTGAAATATTATATCTAACAAAAGTTAGTTTTCAGAAGTTATTTTAAATTTATTATTTATAATTTAAATTTTTTAAATAATAAGTATATAATTATTTAAAATAAAAATATTTTAATATTTATAATTATATATTAATTTTTAAATTTTAAATTTTTTAAATAATTTATTATTTAATAATTATAAATAATAAATTTAATTTGTTAAATTTATCTTATTAAAGCTTATTAAATAATAGTATTTTTATAATTAAATAATAATATATATAAGTTTAAAATTTTAACTTTTTTTTTTTTTATTATATATTATTTTTAAAAATCATTAATTACTATTTTTTTTTAATTTTATTTAAAAAAAACATAAATTTATTAATTTTATTTTAAAATATTTATATTAAATAAAATTATAAATAAATTTACTTATAATACCATTAAAAAAATAAAATAATTTTTAGTTATATTTTAATATTATAAATTATTAAATTTTTTATAATATTATTTTACTTATTATCATATAAAAATGATTTTATTAATAATATTTTTTTTACATATTAATATAATTTTAAATAAAAAATATTAATTTAAAAGAATAATTTTTTTCATTAAATTTAAAATAGCTTTTTGTTAAAAATGTTAATTTGTAATAATAATTTTATAATTAATATTTTTTATATAATATAAGATATTTTATTTTTATGAATAAATAAAGAATAAGTTTTTTTTTTTTTATGATTAAATAAATATATAATAAATCCATTTTTTAAAAATTAATTTTATTATTATTTTAAATATTCTTAAAGGATAAAAAAAAACTTATAAATTTAACAAATTATTAGATTAAAAATCTTAATAAAAAATTTATTAAAACTTAATAAAATAAAATAAAATTATATAAAACTTACAAAATTGGCAAAATTCATTATATTTTTAAATCTTATCGTTATACTATTATTTTATTTCTTAATTTTTAAACTTCATGCAATTAAATTAAATATTAAATATTGATATTTATATATAAATTATAAAAAAAAATTTTATTTGATTTACTGTACATCTAAAAATTTAATAATTTTTTTTATTATTATTTCGATATTGCGTAAGCCGTACCTGAGAACTCTGCTTACCTGGGTTTTTATAATAAATTAATATAATATAAAGTATCTATTTTTATTATCTATTATCTATTATCTATATTATCATAAGTGAAATTTTTATACATTAACATTTGATTGGGCGATCAATTTTGAACTATCAAGTTACAATTTGTTTACATAGAGCCAAAAGAGTTACCGAAGCATTTTTTTTTAGAATACGCTTTTTACATTTTTCAAATTAAAAACCCTTTTGAAGTTTAATTCCTTCGATCTTATAAACCGTAAATATGGACACTTCTCTTCCAACGTTCGGACGACGAGTTTCACCTGCTCAAGGTCGAGGTCGTGCTTCTACACTTCCAACGCTGTCGACCCGTTCACGAATACCATCACCATTTATTGGCGGTGGCGGTGGTGGCGGTAAACCAAATTTGCAACCTGCGATAATGCAGCAACAACAATTTGAAGCAGCGACAGCACAAGAAGAGGAAGAAGAGGAACTTCAGATAAATCCATCTCCAAACAGGCGTAATTTAAACGCGTATGGAGTTCCATCAAGACACTCATCACGTGGTAACTCTTACTCTTTACCAGCAAGACACAATGTACCTAGCAATTTAAATGATAAAATCAGAGTATGTGTTCGCAAACGACCACTTAGTAAGAAGGAGCTTGCTAGAAATGAAAAAGACATTGCCATTATCAATGGTCAGAGAACTGTTCACATCAATGAACCGAAGTGAGACTTTTTATAATAATATTAAATATTTTGACTAATATATATGGGAGGAAATTAAAAAAATTTTATTAATTTAATTAGAACTAAAGTAGATTTGACCAAATATGTTGAACAACACACATTCATATTCGATGATGTTTTTGATTCTGATGCTAACAATGAAGAGGTAAAATTAAGAATCTCTCACAATTTAACATTCTATATGGGATTTTTGATTTATTTTACAATGTGTTTAGGTATATAAACGAACGGCTTTGCCATTAGTCGAATATATTTTTCATGGAGGAAAAGCAACGTGTTTTGCATAGTATCCTTTGAATTTTTATTACGGAATTGGAAATAATTGATTTTCAGCTTCAACTCTTTTTATAAATCCATATTAAATATTTAATTCCTTCACCCAGAGTTTTTGTGAATTTTTTCTTTTTCTGTTTAATTCTTGATTTAGCGGACAAACAGGTATTATGCATAATATTGTTGATTTGATTAACATTACGATAAAATTAATAATTATTTTTATCTTAATTTGGTTACTAGGGAGTGGTAAAACTTTCACTATGCTTGACGATAAACATGGTAAGTGCCGTACTAAAAACAAAACTAGGAGATCCTTAAACATTTAATAATCTGAGTCTTTTCTTTTTAGGTCTTTATGTCTTAGCGTCCCGAGATATTTTTACATTATTACAGCAGCCAGAATTTAATCATTTAGCAGCATACATAGGATTTTATGAGATTTATCAAGGACATCTATACGATCTGTTGAATCAGCGAAAGAAATTATTCGCGCGAGAAGATGGAAAGAAAAATGTTATAATTTCAGGATTACAAGAATATGCAATTGATAATGTTGATAGTTTAATGCAAGTCTTTGATTATGGAAATACTGTTAGAAGCACTGGTTCGTTAAATGTTTTATTAATGTTAATTATTTTATAAATTATGGAATTTGACATCTCTTTGTTTAAAATATTTTTAGGTAGCACTGGAGCAAATGAAGATTCATCTCGATCACATGCAATCCTACAAATAGTATTGAAACATAAAAAGAACAGAAAGAAGTTTCATGGTATTTAACTTTATGACTTTATAATGTGATCTTAGTAGTTAAATAGTAATTGGTGAATATGATTGATTTCTTGATTAGGTAAACTCAGTTTCATCGACTTAGCTGGAAGTGAACGAGGTGCAGATAGAGGAGACGCTGATAAGCAAACAAGGCATGCGATATGTTGGGTTTCTGTCCGCATTTTTTTCCGCATTATTTTAATCATTTCTTGAAAGGATTCCCTTGACGATTAATTTTATTGTAGAATGGAAGGTGCCGAAATCAACAAAAGTTTGTTGGCTTTAAAGGAATGTATTCGAGCTCTGGATCAAGTCAAAAGACATACCCCCTTCCGTCAGAGTAAATTAACACAAGTATGTTGTATTATTAACACAAAATTATTGATTGTTTAATCTACTTAAATGTAAACTTGTATTTAAATCTTTTAAATTTTTTATTCTATTTTTTTTTTTTTTAAATAGGTATTAAAAGATTCCTTTGTTGGAAATTCAAGAACCTGTATGATTGCAACAGTATCACCAAATATTTCTAATAGCGAGCACACTTTAAACACATTAAGATACGCTGATAGGTATGTTAATTGTTCGGTTATAAAAACCATGTATAATTATATTAATTCTTTCGTGTTTTGGCTCATTGGATAATCAGAGTGAAAGAACTCAAATCAGAACGAGATCGTGCTGAACGTGTTGCTGCAGGCCTCGAGTTGGCTGCTAATGAACTACATGGATTAACTGATGAACAGAGACAAGAATATTATAGTCAGGCACAAGCAAAATTAGAAGCGGAAGAAGGATATGAAGGTTATGAGGGTTATGAGGAAGGATATGAGGGTTATGATTATGAAGAAGAGGATCCTGCATTTGACGATGAAGAAGAATCTGACTTCTTAGAAGAGGAATTTCCAAGTGATGAAGATAATGATCTTTTTGGCGAAGAAATGCCCTCGGATGGCATCGTTGATGAAGATTTTATTCATGATCATCGTAGTGCATCCGCGAATTCTTTTGATAAGACAACAGATATTTTGTCAAAACTAAATGTTAATGATACGCCGAACTCTCATAGAACAACCTCAACTATTACCTCTTATCTTAATTCTCCTTCCTCATATGTACAAAGTTCACCGGATTATAATAATTCTCCAAATTCTATTCAATTACCAACAGCATCTGAAAATGCATCATCACAAGGTGGTATTACTCACGCGGATATGGAAGACTTCCTTAAACGTCATCGTCATGAACTTAGAGAAGTAAGTGAAGCTGGTAAACAAGAGACAAAATTATTGGCCAACTTTACTTTAGGCATGAACTCAAATAATGATATAGGTGCGGCTCATGATCTTACTGTTGACGCTTTTGAAAAGTATCTTGATGAATTAGATACACTATTGGAAGCTAAGGAACAAAACATTTCTGAACTAAGACGCAAGATCAATCAACTTTGGCGCCGATAAAACGTTGTTTAATGGATGTTAAGCTTCCATTATTACCTTTCTGAAATAATAATATATATTAATGAGTCTGATTGGAAAAAAAAATACCGTAATTTCGTTTAATTCAAGAGAAATTTAAAGGAAGTTATATAAGAATATAAATTATATGATTTATTTGTGGTCTGCTTGGATTATGGATTATTATTTTTTTTATATATTTAAGAAATTTTTCTTTAGCGCTCAAAGATTATTTTCCTTTTTTTTTTGATTTAATTATTTGGTTTTTCCCTTTACGATATATTTTTCTGAATTTTCAGATTCTAAATTTATCATGACTATTGCGTTCATAACATTTTGTAGATATAGATATTTGGATATTAAAGATTTTATGATAATTGGCGATCATTTATTTGAAATGTATTTTTATTTATTTCAATATTTTATTTTATTAGTTGAATGGGAAGCGACCAAATAATTATGGTTGATGTATCCTTCCTTTTATTAGAATTTTGTAGTTTGTTAAAGGTAGAAAAATATTTCATCTTGATTTTTGTGATAATTTTCAATGTTTTATTATTTCATCTATTTTAACAGAGGTTAACATTTGTGATCATAATGTTCATCACTCTTTTTATATATATCGTCTTTTATTTTTATTTGAAGTGTTTAATATGATGGATTTTTTTTTTTTTTACTTAGAAATTTATTTCAATTGATATAAATTGGTATTTTTTTTTTTTTTAAAAAAAAAAAAAAGATTATTTTATTTGTCAAATTTAAATTGTAAGAAACAAAGTAGATACCATTGTCAAATTTGATAATTATTCAAATTTATAAGTGAAAAAAAAAAATCTAATAGAATTATTTTTTTAAAAATAATCTTGCGAAATTATAAGTAATAATTTGGTGATATTATTTTAATATCATTACAAATTTATAATAAATAATAAATTAAATAATAATCACAAATTTTAAAAATATATCTTTAGATAAATAATTAATGTGTAAATTTTTTTGATTTTTCTATGATAATAAAAAATATGAAAATATATTTAGCATATAATATAAAATTATATATTATATATATTTGAATGATTATGTTATATTTTAATTATCCATTTTTTATAATATAAAATCAAAATCAATTTTAGTTTTTATATACATAAAAATAAAAGTAAATTTATTTATTGCAGGTGTGATATTATTACTTTTTTTTTTCATTCGTTTATATTTTCCCTTTTTCATTTTTCATATATAATCTGAGAACTTAGAAATTTTTTCATGTGTGAAATCCTATTTGTCACATAGGTTAGTATCATATGATTTAGAATTAGATTAGGATTAGGATAAGATATATATATAAAGGTAATATATAAGGGTATCACATTTCAATTAAATTAGCAAAAGAAAAAATCTGAAAAATTTGCTGTGTTATAGTAGTTTACTAAAATTTGTATTTTTTGATGATTTTGCTTATCTTTTCCTTAGTTTAGTTAGTTTTCCTCAAATAATGTAAAAAATATAATAAATATATTAGTCTTTGATGGCTTTTTACTATTATATAAGAAATATAGTTATTGTTATACTACTAAAATCACCTACATTTTTTTTTATACAAAGGTTCTTTATATAATAAAATATTTTTCTTATGTAAATTTTCACAATTATACTAAAAATCAGAATGTATTAATTTAATTTGTTAGTAAAGTTTTAACCTAAAATTTTAACTTTATGATAATGATTATTTGCATATTAAAGTAATCCTGTTTAATTTATAAGTAAGACAATTGCTCTAGTCCTATTTAAACTATAGAGAATTAATAAAATCTAATGACTTATAGATAAAATAAGTTTAGAAAGTCAAAAATTTCATAATAAATATGTAATAGAAATAATGAAATTATTTAATCCTTTAAATAAAAAAATGCCTATATAAACCTTTCAAGAAAAATAAATTTTTATCAAAAAATGTTATTTATAATATCTTCTATTATTTTTATAAAAATTTTGATTGTCTTATAGAGATCTTAAAGAATGTGAAGAATGAAGTTAATAATTAAAAATATAAGCAGTAGAAGATTCACGCTGGTATTGTTTATAGCAGAATAGATAATAAAGAATTCATTAAAATTAATTTTAAAGCGTTTAAAAATAATAATAAGATGATGATACAAGAAATAAGAAAGTATTCAATTATATTAATAATTAAAAGATTCTTAAGCTTGATTTGAACTATTTGTAAGAAAAATTTTTTAAAATATCAATTAATTAATAATAATAAAAATTATTGCTTTTTTATACTATTTAGGTAATTGTAATTCAAGCAATAAATTTAAATTTAAAATATTAAATGATGAGATAAGCATAAATAATTTATCAATAGTGCTATTATTTAAATCTTTTATCACATTATGTAAAACAACAATAATCCTATAAAATGAAAATCAAAAATATTTTATTTTAAAAAGAAATATCTATAACTCATTTACTGAAATTATAAATAAACTTATAATTTCATGTAAATATATGATATTAAATGGTAGATATTTTTTAGTAGAAAAATTAACAAAATCTTTAGCAATATTTTCAGTTGTAGGTGAATTATTTATTAGAATAAGTCTTATGCAAATAATTTATTTTGAAATAAAATGGTTTTACACTAATACTACAACATAAAAAGAAGAAAAAAATAGTAAAATACTAAAAAGAAAGAGTTTAAACAACAAATAATTAATAATAAAAAACTAAAAATAAGTAAATCAGATTAAACATCTCCATTAATTTTATCAATATTAACTTTATCTACTTTAAGCTTAACATCATTAACACAAATATCAACATTATTAAAAGTTTAAAAAAGATCTAAAAATATTAATAGATGTATTAAATCAGATCAATAATAAAAATGAAAGATTTATATATAAAAGCAAAATGATAAAGACTAATAAAATGACCTTTATTTAAAAAAATAAAAACATAATATAAATCTTTATTTTTTTTTTAATTAAAGAAAAAAATAAAAATAATTAAATAATTGTATCATAAATATAATCATCTTTGATAATTACTAACTATATAAATATAAATAAATAAAATTAAAAAAATTTTTTATTATGTATTATTAAGTAAAATAAAAATTAAATAGTTTCTTTTTTGTAATCATTTATGTTATTTTTGTAATTTTAGCTATTGATCTATAAATTACGACTAAGGAATTTATAGTTTCATATAATAATGATTTATAGAATTATCTTTAATCATTTTTTTTTGAAATATCTTGACAACTATTAGTCTAATCAAAAGTCAGTTAACTTGGTAGTTGACTGTAACTCTACTTTTAAAAAATAAGGTGATAAAATAATTTTCATTTAGATTCTTAATTCTTAATGTTACATTGATAGTAGTATCTTACTAAAAAACTTTTTCTGCTAATCTTCTTATCAATATATCGCTAATAATAAGAAAACAAAGCAATTACAGAAAAAACCTGAACTATATAATAAAAGTATTTCAAACAATTTAGAAAATAATAAAAAACTTACTGTCTTGTTTGCTAAAGATAACAACAAAAATAAAAGTAAAGAAAAAGTCACTAATATTACTAAAAAACAAAAACTCAAACTTTTAAAAACTAATAATATTTTAACTGAAATAGAAATTCCTAATACTATTAACCTAATACTAATCCTTATATAAACTGCTTTTAATATTACTACACCAAACTTCATTATCAAAGACTCAGAAATATATGAAATGAAAATAGATACTACAAAAAATTTCTTTACTCATAAAATAAGGTTTTAGTATTAATAATTCTATATATGTAAAGAAAAATGTAAATAATAACAAATTAATCTTTACTATTTCTCCAGTTAATAAAGGCAACATAAACAAATTTTTTAGGCTGATCAAATAGAAAATAATATAAATGAACTTAACTAACTACAGTAACTGACAAAAGAAACGCAACAACTTATTTTTAGCTTTAAACGCTTATAACTTATTAACTACAAATGCTAGAAACATAA